AATCTACAGGATTCTTTGTGTACATTCATCAAAGTTTAGCTGTATACATGTTATAGTTTTAAGCAATATGCAGTTTTGTATTCTAAAAACCTATATTAACTGAATTAATTATTTAAAGTGAAATCTAATCATCTTGTTAAATATTTTCTTCAGGACAATGGCTGATTGCCCAGATAAGAACAAAATCATAAATTATGCCGGCTAAATACTTTCTCTAAAAAAAAAATAGGCAAAAATGTTTTTCCTAAAATTAGTTAGCACTCTTTCAGAGAGGGAAAAGACAGCGGGGTTTACCCTGACGGTACTAATGTATGTTTTCACAGAATTATGCACACAGATACTGGTAGAGTCTTCCTTTGTAATTACTGTTTTGGAGCTAACAACATTTCTGTAGGTGGACAGTTCCCATGTGGGAAGTTCTATTTAAAAAAAAAAGGTTCTGCGTCTTCACATTGTAACTGTTTCCTCTCAGGCTTCAGCACTCGCTCTGTTAGCATGGATTTTCCAAGAACTGTTCTTCCATGGGCTTCCCACAGGCTGCTATTCCAGATCTGCCCTTAAGAGTTCCAAACCATGGAGGGCAGAAGTGGATTTAAGCATTAACTTACCTGCAAAAGTCCTATTGGTTTTTGTTGGGAAGGAGGAGGTTCATGCTGCCTTTTTCTATGTCCCCTTGTTCTTTCCCAATGGATCCTAAACCACCTGGTACAGTAGTAGAGAGGCTTTCACCAGATTGGGAGAAAAATAGAATGATGCAGTAGAGTATCATCTTCTGCACTCTCCATGCTAGATTTAAGTCCCTTGTACTCTCAGGCTAAGTCTACACTACAGGGTTTTTGCGCAAAAACAGTGGTTGTTGCCCCAAAACCCACAGAGCGGACACACCTCAAGCATGTTTTTGCGCAAGAAAATTTACAGTGGAATTGCAAAATGGAGGGCTTTTTGCGGTATAGGTATTCCTTTTTCTACGAGGAATAACTCCTTTTTGCTCAAGAGTTCTTGCGCAAAAAGATGTGTGGATGCTCAATAGGAGTTCTTGCGCAAAAAGAGCCTATTAGAAAAAGCACAAGTGCTCTGATGGCCATTCTGTTAATGGTAATCAGAGCTTTCTTGCGCAAGAGCATCCATGCAGTGTGGATGCTCTTGCGCAAAAGGGCATCACTATTGCGATGCATTTTTGTAGTGTGGACGTGCTTTTGTGCAAGACGTTTTTGCGGAATATCTCTTCCGCAAAAAGCTTCTTGCGCAAAAGACTGCATTGTAGACATAGCCTCAGAGAGAGTAGATGGTAAGGGCACATTGTAATTAACTTTGAAGTCTGAATTTGAAGGAGGAACTGTGAACTTGGATCAACAGATATTTGATTTTTGCTATCAAAACTTGGAAACTTTCTAAACTTTCTAGTTTATGAAATGCTGATCTCATTCAGAAGATATATAACTATGGTACAACAGGTCTCTCTTCTCTCTCTCTCTCTGTCACACACACTCACTCACTCAGGGTATGTCTACACTACAGAGGTAGTTCGAACTAGGCTTACTCCTCGTAAAATGAGGTTTCCTAGTTCAAACTAAGCGCTCCGCTAGTTCGAATTAAGGGCTGTGTAGACCCTTAATTCGAACTAGCTAGTTCGAACTAGGCTTACTCCTCGTAAAATGAGGTTTCCTAGTTCAAACTAAGCGCTCCGCTAGTTCGAATTAAGGGCTGTGTAGACCCTTAATTCGAACTAGCTAGTTCGAACTAGGCTTACTCCTCGTAAAATGAGGTTTCCTAGTTCAAACTAAGCGCTCCGCTAGTTCGAATTAAGGGCTGTGTAGACCCTTAATTCGAACTAGCTAGTTCGAACTAGGCTTACTCCTCGTAAAATGAGGTTTCCTAGTTCAAACTAAGCGCTCCGCTAGTTCGAATTAAGGGCTGTGTAGACCCTTAATTCGAACTAGCTAGTTCGAACTAGGCTTACTCCTCGTAAAATGAGGTTTCCTAGTTCAAACTAAGCGCTCCGCTAGTTCGAATTAAGGGCTGTGTAGACCCTTAATTCGAACTAGCTAGTTCGAACTAGGCTTACTCCTCGTAAAATGAGGTTTCCTAGTTCAAACTAAGCGCTCCGCTAGTTCGAATTAAGGGCTGTGTAGACCCTTAATTCGAACTAGCTAGTTCGAACTAGGCTTACTCCTCGTAAAATGAGGTTTCCTAGTTCAAACTAAGCGCTCCGCTAGTTCGAATTAAGGGCTGTGTAGACCCTTAATTCGAACTAGCTAGTTCGAACTAGGCTTACTCCTCGTAAAATGAGGTTTCCTAGTTCAAACTAAGCGCTCCGCTAGTTCGAATTAAGGGCTGTGTAGACCCTTAATTCGAACTAGCTAGTTCGAACTAGGCTTACTCCTCGTAAAATGAGGTTTCCTAGTTCAAACTAAGCGCTCCGCTAGTTCGAATTAAGGGCTGTGTAGACCCTTAATTCGAACTAGCTAGTTCGAACTAGGCTTACTCCTCGTAAAATGAGGTTTCCTAGTTCAAACTAAGCGCTCCGCTAGTTCGAATTAAGGGCTGTGTAGACCCTTAATTCGAACTAGCTAGTTCGAACTAGGCTTACTCCTCGTAAAATGAGGTTTCCTAGTTCAAACTAAGCGCTCCGCTAGTTCGAATTAAGGGCTGTGTAGACCCTTAATTCGAACTAGCTAGTTCGAACTAGGCTTACTCCTCGTAAAATGAGGTTTCCTAGTTCAAACTAAGCGCTCCGCTAGTTCGAATTAAGGGCTGTGTAGACCCTTAATTCGAACTAGCTAGTTCGAACTAGGCTTACTCCTCGTAAAATGAGGTTTCCTAGTTCAAACTAAGCGCTCCGCTAGTTCGAATTAAGGGCTGTGTAGACCCTTAATTCGAACTAGCTAGTTCGAACTAGGCTTACTCCTCGTAAAATGAGGTTTCCTAGTTCAAACTAAGCGCTCCGCTAGTTCGAATTAAGGGCTGTGTAGACCCTTAATTCGAACTAGCTAGTTCGAACTAGGCTTACTCCTCGTAAAATGAGGTTTCCTAGTTCAAACTAAGCGCTCCGCTAGTTCGAATTAAGGGCTGTGTAGACCCTTAATTCGAACTAGCTAGTTCGAACTAGGCTTACTCCTCGTAAAATGAGGTTTCCTAGTTCAAACTAAGCGCTCCGCTAGTTCGAATTAAGGGCTGTGTAGACCCTTAATTCGAACTAGCGGAGCGCTTAGTTTGAACTAGGAAACCTCATTTTACGAGGAGTAAGCCTAGTTCGAACTACCTCTGTAGTGTAGACATACCCTCTCTTACTTTAGGATCCCCTCTTAAATGCTGTATATAGTCTCATACTATATGGATCCATGTTCAGAGTAACATTGAAAGGAAATTCAGAAGGTAGGCTCTCTAAATAGAATAGAGCAAATTACTAAGCACTTACAAATAGCCTTCAAATCTTGTTAACTGTAATATATTGAAGTTAAAAGACAGAAGAAGTTTGATCTAGGTCGTATTGCCCTTATTTACTAGACAGAAACCCAGACGGCAGAAAGGTACATTTTAAAAGTTGGGCCAAAAATGTAACTGGCCACACACAGATATATTGGGGAGTTACTGTATCTTGTCTAAATTATATTTTTCCAGCATGGTTTGCCAGATTTTAATTTTATTTTTAATCAATTTTTTCATGAAATTTCCACTGTCGTAGGAATTTCTGAAACTTGGACAGGTGGAATTATATTTTTCAATGACCCTTTATGATGCAAAAGACTATATATATTCTCCTTTTATGTGTGATCGAAAAACATATGTAAAGTTACTCACGTTACTGTCTTCTTAACTGGCTTTTCTTCAGTGTATGGCATTTAAAAGTTTAATGGCAAAGGCAGTTGTCTGCAAGTGGCATTATTATGTCCTAAAAACAGAAGATCTTGTGTTCATCTAACAAGTACTAACATTTGTGTTGCTTGGCATCAGAACCTTATTTTGTTGTCTTCCCAGTTAACCCAGTAGCAAGATCCATGTTCTCCTTCAAGAGAAGCATGATGAAGATAGACCAAATTTTATGCAAGTGCATCAAATACTGGTTTTCAGGCTTGAATTCTCAGCTACCAACATTGTCCTTAGCTTTCCTGTCATTACTGAAAATTGGTGTTCTGAGTTAGAAAATCTTAACTCCTCCACAAAATGCTTCTTCAGCAATCAGTTTTTCCTACATGAAAATAAAGTGAAGATGAAGTTTCTGCTCTGTTTGACTTTCCAAAGACACTGCAAAATCAACCAAATGAAACATCTGCCACCAGCCAGAACATTTGCAAAAATAGGTTCAGAGTGGAACCTGATTATGGAAATCTGATTAAGCAACATCAGCAGAGCCTGGACTGAGCATTTACCATTTTAAACATCTTACCGTTCTAGGATAATGAATTTGTTATTAGCACCACATATAGTACAAACAAAGTAAAACCATGAGACTGGTAATCCAATACCTTTACAGAAAGATTTGACCTATGGCTTGTTGCATTTCCCACTCTCTTCTTAACCCTGGTCCCCTTCTGTTACAGTACATGTGAACCTGTCCTATTTAGTATTGCTTCCTGACTTCTTTCCATAACAACATTCCTCTCATTTGGAAGTGACCCAGCTAGTTGAGGATTTTTATCATAGGAGCTAGTGCTAGACAATTGTCTTCGGATGTGAAATCCTGACTCTAGAGGGGAGTGTCAGAAATAAAGAATCAAAGCCAACAGATGATTGACATGCCAGCTTGCCATCACTCACTTTGTATTTGATTGTAAATGCTTCTGTCACTGTCTTCCTATTTCTAATATGTAAAACACTGTTCTGCATTCAAAAAGTATCATACAAAGTCCCAGTCCTACAAACACACACCAGCTTAAGTTTACACTCCTAAGTCCAAAAGAAGACTGTTTTCAGTGAACAACCAGTATTATTACTGAACTCTGCTATGTACAATCTAGAGATAAAGCAATGGTCTTTTTTTTCACTTCTGTTAATTGCAGGATTTGGAGTTTGTTTTGAACAAATGGACCAAGCTGTGCAGTATGGATCTTAAAGGGAATCCTGTTTGCCGTAAACCAAAATACAGGGACAGGCTGATTCTACAGTCAAAAACTCTAGGTAAAAAATATGATTAGAACACTTTCCACTTGAAAAGAATAGTTGGCACATTAGCTATCTTTGAATTACAGTGAAACTCCTATGAAACCAGGTAGTGGCCTCCACAATTAATCCCAGACGATTTATATAATTTTTAAAGCTGTTGTACAAGTTATATTATTTAAATTGATTAATAAGCTAAAAATCCTTGTCACTTATTATAGCTCAACTTATTTATTACCAAAATTACCGCTTACTATATAGGATTTATACCATGGTATATTCATACATTGTGAATAAGGCTTTTCTGTGTTTGTGATCCCAAATTAAGTGATACTAATTTTTAAAGATTTCTTTCATTTTTCCCCATTGTAGCATTACTGCAGGGTAGAATTAAGGTAGTTTGGACATCTTAAATAAGCATTTTATATTCATGCTTCTTACATTGATGGAAGAGGTTTTTCTGTCAGTACAGTTAATTCACCTTCCAAGAATGGTAAGTCAGTGGAGAATTTTTCTATTGACCTAGCCATTTCTACAGGGAAGCTGGACATTCCCCCTGCTCCTGACTATGTTCCTCACAGTGCCCCCTGCAGGAGAGGCTGGGACTGAGGTAGGCATGAAGCTGCTGAATCAGATCTGGTCAAGCTTTTATGCACCTGCTTCATATTAGCAGCCCTACTAAAGGCAAAGAATGCAACCCAGGGGTCCTGGCTACCAGTCGGTTTGGCTCAGACCTCAGCAGTCCCTTCCCCTTCCACAGGTGGGGCTAGAACCCAGGAGTCCTGGCTCCCAGCCAGCCCCCCTTCTAAAGGGTAGAATACCACCTCCGTGTGCAGCCAAATGTAGCAGCCCCTGCTGTTGCCAGGCAGATGTGGATTGAAGTCAGCGGCCGGCTGAGCCTTTATCTCTCTTGGGGTATGTCTACACTACCCCGCTAGTTCGAACTAGCGGGGTAGTGTAGACATACCCTTAGAGGTTGTCCTAACTGTGGCACTTGGTGCATAATGTTTTTTCACAGATCTGAACAAGAGTGTCATTTTGGGAGAGCAGGTGGGGCAGCAGCTATGCGTACCAGGCTTGCTTTTCTTCCCATTTCCCTGACTGTCAGGGAGAGAGTAGAAAGTACATGAATTACTCCTGTGCCCCTCTTTTCACCAGCCAGGAGTAAGAGGCATGCTTTCTAATATCAAATAGGTGGCTACAAGGGGTCAGTGGGACTACTTGATGAATAAGGCAGGCAGGTTTTGATTGCAAGTGTGTACTTTCTTATGCAGTCTACATATAAATGTATATGTCCTGCATAAATATATGCTGTCCTTTTAAACCCCTGAAACATCAGTATCACATCTTAATTTGGGTGTCGAACATCTTTAGTGCCAACCGCCCTGCAAGGAGCATGCGGCACTTCAAAGTGCCACATGCTGCTTGCAGGGCGGGAAGAGACGTCATGCACTCCCCTGCTCCCAAGTCCTGATTGGCTGGGGAGGGGGGGAGCTGTGCTGAGCTTCCCTAACCCTGTTCCCACCTTGTGTGAGCATACGGCACTTTAAAGTGCCGTATGCTCACACAAGGTGGGAACAGGGTTAGGGAAGCTTCGCACAGCTCCCCCACTCCCCAGCCAATCAGGACTTGGGAGCAGGGGAGTGCATGACGTCTCTTCCCGCCCTGCAAGCAGCATGTGGCACTTTGAAGTGCCGCATGCTCCTTGCAGGGCGGAAGTAGGGTGGGAGGAGACTTTGTGTGCTCCCCCGTCCCCAGGCCAATCAGGGCCTGGGGGTGGGGGAGTGTGTGAAGCCTCTTCCCTCCCTGCCAGGGCTTAGTGGGAAGGGGGGGCAAACGGGTTCCCCCACCCCCAGACCAATTATGATCTGGGGGTGGGGAAGCCCAGAAGCATTCTAGCCCCACCCTTCCGTATTAGGCATCACCCCTTCTGGATTAGGACCCGCCCCTTCCAGGGCAGCCCTGGTCCACTTCAAAAAAATTTTAAGTGGCCCCCGGCCAAAAATTAATACCTACCCCTGCTCTAGCAAGATGCTTGGTAGGCTTTAGGATTAGAGTGTCCCTATCACTAATCTGCCATGTAACAATAGCAGCACCTCAAGGCCTGGAGTGGAGTGCTGGTGTTGCACATGCCTTGTGGAGTTGGAGAACTGACCCCCATTAGGCACAGACAAGGGTTCCTCATGCTAATGACAGGTGGCAGCAAGTTGTTTTACAACCTGGTTAACCCCAGGAAACATGAAGAGATAGAAATAAGTGTCTGTTTCCTTGGAGATAGTCCTTTTGGGCAGAAAGTATGTCACGCCCTGGTGGCCTGTCTTAATTGTATGACCTCAGAAACATGATTTTCAGCATAAATACTGTGGAGGAGTTTGCACGGCCTCTCTGGATTGACAGGAGTTCAGCTAACAAGCAAGGCCCTATTAAGTCTGGTGCTAGCAAGCACACAGGCATAATGTTTTTTCACAGATCTGAGCAAGAATGTCATTTTGGGAGAGCAGGTGGGGCAGCAGCCATGCATACCAGGGCGTGGCTTGCTTTTCTTCCCATTTTCCTGACTGTCAGGGAGAGAGTGGAAAGTACTTGAATTCCATGAATTACTCTTATGCTCCCTCCCTTCACCAGCCAGGAGCGAGAGGCATGCTTTCTTATATCAAATAGGTGGCTACAAGGGGTCAGTGGGACTACTTGATGAATAAGGCAGGCAGGTTTTGATTGCAAGTGTGTACTTTCTTATGCCCAGATAAATGTATATGTCCTGCATAAATATATGCTGTCCTTTTAAACCCCTGCAACATCAGTACCACATCTTAATTTGAGTGTCAAACATTCTTACTGCCAACCATAACAATAATTGATTATCTCTTTCCCATGTATTTGAGAACTGCCATGTTGCACATGCAACTCATTTCTTTATGAATAATTTTCAAAATATAATCTATCGTTTGATCTCTTTTCTGACTAAAATGTAAGCATTTTTGGCAAAAGCAAACATATTAGCGAACATAAATGGTTTAAGCTTTTAGCTGACTAACTTTGTTACAAAAAGTATGTTTTTTCCTTTTTCCTCAGAATCCCTTGATGGGAAAGAAATAAAAGAAATGGAAAGACAATTCCTAATGAATTGGAAAGCATCCAAAGCCTCAAGGAAAAAAAGCAAGGAAGAAAGCATGACAAATGAACATGCAACTTATCCACATTTCTGTAAGCAAACTAATCAATTACTCCATTTACGGCATGCTCATTTACAACATTGTAATAGCCCTGAAATCTTATCTTACAGCAAAAGTGTTGTTAACAAACTTCAGGTAGGAGATTGGACCAAGATGGAAGGTTTAAATTTGATTAATAGATTCATAGATTTCAAGACGAGAGGGGACCTTTTTAATCCTCCAGTATGATCTTCTGTATAATGCAAGCCACTGAACTTCTCCAAAATAATTAATAAAGCATATTTTTCTTTAAAAAAATCCCACCATGATTTAAACAGTATCAGTGATGCAGAATCATCTGTGATCCTAGATAAGTTTTTCTAATAGTTAATTATTCTCACTCTTTAAAATCTATGCCTTATTTCCACTCTGAGTTTGTCTAACTTCAGCATTCAGCCATTGGACTGTGTTATGAGCTAGATTGAAGAGCCTACTATTAAATATTTGTTCCCCCCTCTAAGAATGTATAGACTGCAGCCAAGCCACTTCTTAACATTCTCTATGTAAAGGAAATAGATTGAACTCCTTGCATCTATCTGTTGCTGTGAGGCATGTTTTCTATTTCTTTAATAATTTTTGTAGCTTTTCTCTGAATCCCCTCCAATTTATCAACTTCCTTTAGAACTGTGGACACCAGAACTGGACACAATATTGCAACAGCAGTCACATCAGTGCCAAGTATAAATGTCAAATTTTGTCTCTGCTCCTACTTGAAATACCCATTTATGCATCCTAGGATTGCATTAGACCTTTTTGCCACAGCATCATACCGAAAGCTCATATTCAGCTGATTGTCTACCATGACCCCAGAATCTTTGGTCACTGCTTCCCAGGATAAAGCCCCTCATTGTGTGAGTATGACCTACATTTTTTGTTTCTAGATATAGGTATGTATATTTAGCCATATTAAAACACATTGCTTGGGAAGATTTTGCCAAGCAGTCCAGATGGCTCTGTATCAGTGACTGGTCCTCTTCATTATTACTGCTTCCCCAATTTTTGTGTCATCTTCAAACTTAAACTTAAATAGTGATTATTTTTTGTTTTCTTCCAGATCATTAATAAAATTAAATAGCATAGGGCAACCTATCCGTGTGAGACCGCACTAGAAACATATCCATTTATAGGTGATTCCCTGCTTATAGTTACATTTTTAACTCATCACCTTTTAATCTATTTAATAAGTACCATGTTAATTTTGTATCCTAATTTTTAAATAAATAGGTCATGCCACATCAAGTCAATTACCTTACAGAATTCTTAAGTTTATTACATCAACACTATTTCCTTTATCAACCAAACATACAATCGCTCATCACAAAAAGATATCCATTTAATTTGACAGGAACTTTTTTCCATATATTGATGTTGATAGTTATTAATTATATTATCCTCCTTTAATTCTCTGTTAATCAAGTCTGGAATCAGCTGCTCCATTATCTTGTTAAAATCAATATCAGACTGACAAGCCTGTAGTTCCTTGTGGCATTTCATTTACGTCTTTTAAATAGTGACACAGCATTAGCTTTCTTCTGGTACTTCCCTGTTAGTTTTAAGTCTTATTGAGAATCACCATTAATGGTCCAGTTAGTCCCTCAGTCAGCTCTTTTAAAACTCTTGGATGCAAATTATGCTGACTTTAAAATGCTTAGATTTTGTTGCTCCTCTTCAACGTCCCCTTGATATATTAGTGGAATGGAAAGTGTGTTATCATATGATTGCATCATCTGTTCCCCCCCAAGTACAAAATAGATAAATTTACTGAATGCTTCTGCCTTTTCTGTATTATATCCATACCATTTCCATCTAGTAATAGATCAAAATCATTGTCACAATTGATTTTTTTTGTTACTAATGCACTTAAACTCTTTCTTTTAGTCCTCAACTCTCCTGGCCATAGATTTCTTCTTATGTCCCTTTTCTTCCTTATCTATTTTCTACAATTCATAGCTTCTGATACATATTCCTTACTGTCAACTTCTGCTTTCTCCTGCTTTCTATAATATTTTTATAGCTGGCTTTATTCCCCTCCTAAACCAGATTGGTATTTTCAACTAATATGGGCTTCTTCTCCAACTGTGAGATTGTGGCTTTGAAGACATCTAGTAAAATGTTCTCAAGGCAATTAAAAAATATCATTCACATTTTTCTGATAAAATTCTTCCTCCCAGTTGATTTGTTTCCTAATTGTTTTTAGTTTTGTGAAATTGGCCCTTTTAAAGCACCAATGATGTATCACTGATCTGGACTTAATTCTGTTTTCACATTGTAGTCATTAATTTTTAGTTCTGTGACCAGTTTTTTCTTTATCTGTCAAGATGAGGTCTAAACTAAAGTTCCTCAGTGCTGGCTGCAACACTTTTTGAGTTAGGAAACTGTCATCTGTAATATTTTAGACATTCCAAGGGTGTTTTAGTATTGGCAGATACTAGGAGTATTGGTCAACAAATACTCCATCTTTTGCTTTATCTATGACGACACTGGTCTATTAGCTTTTAAGATCATTTTCTTCTGTGGTATCAGTGATGTGGAAATGGATAAAGCCATTTTTGACATAGAGTGTAATTCCATCTCCCTTATTGTCCACTCAGTTCTTCCTAAATAGGTTATGACCGTTAATTTTAACATTCCAGTCATAGGAAATATCCTACCCGGTTTCTGTAAGACAACTAGATCAAATTTGTGCTTATAAATGAAGATTGCACTTCCAGTTTTTGTTACCCAGTTTCCTAGCATTGGTGTATGAGCAATCAAATAATTTCTTCTCTTCGTGTCCTTTGGTTTCTTGATTTAATTTTATTCACATCTCGGTTTTGTGCAGAGTGCTCATATCCTCCCTCTTTCTTACTCTCCCTTTTTTAAAAAATTCATGTAATGCCCTCTTGGCAACTCTAACAAACCTGTCCTTGAGAAGACTGGACCTGCTTCTACTGTGGTGGAAGCCATCCAAATAATATAGCTTGCTATCCCTATAGAAGGTAGATCAATGTTTCACAAAGCCAAAACCTCCACCTCCACCACTTTCCTAGCCAGTGTTTCACTTTCAGAATCTTCTGTCTCATGCCTTCCTTTAGTCGTGGGACAGGAATGATCTCAGAGAAGATCACTTGGACATTGTTCATCAAAGGGATGTAAGTGACTAGCTAACTCTCTGGAGCGACACTTCAAAGGGGCTTTACAACGCGGAGCCGGGAATCAGCTGGGCACTCCAGCTGATCCTCAGTTCTGCTTGCGCTGCCCCTTTGAAGTGCCCCTTTGATGCTTTAAAGGAGCAGCGGATTAGGAGCCGGGGATCAGCTGGAGTCCCCAGCTGATCCCAGGCTCCTAATGCGCTGCCTGTTAGAAACGCCACCATTTCAAAGGGGAGACGTATGCGATTTATTGCATGATTAATTGCGATTAAATTTGTTAATAGTTTGACAGCCCTGGTCTATTCTATACTAACTCCACTCTCCCTGTCGATCTACTGTACGCAACTTCAGCTGTGCGAATAATGAGTAATTACATTCTGCCTACCTTCATTCTCGCTGCATTCTGAATTGGATACTGTTACTCAGTGTCATGTCATGTCCTAAACTGTTGGGCAAAGTTGCACTATGCTCTTAAGTAGATGCTATTTTTCATGCTAGTGGTGGCTACATTTCCGTGGAGGGCAAAGTAACAGTTCTGTTAGGCAAGCAAAAATGTTGTTACAGTAAACTTCCGATAATCCGGCACCTTTAGGACCCAGGGGGTGCCGGATTATCAGATATGCCGGACAATCAGAAGGGGAGGCTATGAGGGGTCTGGCGTGGGTTGGGAGGGGATGCCACCCCAGACCCCTCATAGCCTCCCCTTACGATAGTCCGGCTCTGCCCAGGCGTGTTCTGTTAGGCAAGCAAAAATGTTGTTACAGTAAACTTCCGATAATCCGGCACCTTTAGGACCCAGGGGGTGCCGGATTATCAGATATGCCGGACAATCAGAAGGGGAGGCTATGAGGGGTCTGGCGTGGGTTGGGAGGGGATGCCACCCCAGACCCCTCATAGCCTCCCCTTACGATAGTCCGGCTCTGCCCAGGCGTCCCTGATTCAGCCGCTGCTGGTCAGTTTCAGCAGCAGCTGGATC